GGGACGGGTGCTGAGGAGCAAACGATTTCCCTCTGATGAAGAGCGAGGCGGCTTGGTCCCGGTGTCCTGGACCGGCACAAGTGGGATTGGGCTATTGAAGAGGAAGCTTTCAGTGCAGGTCGCTGCTGTCAGATTTTGGCTTGTGCTCTACGGACACCAAATTAAGTCAGTTGGTCTCCTAGACCTGCTTTCAGCAATGCCTTACAGACGGTTAGGGCGAATCAGACGCTTATCATCCCTTCCCTTGTCGTGTCCCTGACGCTCTTGAGGAACCTGAAGATGTGCGAGCCGCCAGTCCCTTTGGCTTCCAGCAAGGAAGGTGGCTTCCCTGGCAGGGGGCCAGCCTTGTCGGTGGGCTCCCCACTCCTGGCCTTGGCCTTGGCGGCCGCGGTGGTGATGTACTTAGTGACGATGGTGATGTGGTGGGTCCTGAAGTCTGCCAGGGCAGAGACGCACCGGTTGAAGGCAGTGCAGAGCTGCCCGTTCCTGGAGGAGAGGACGTGCTGCTTCAGGGACGGGGCGCGCTGGATTTCTTCTACAAAGGCGCGGTGGGGAGGGGGCATGTAGTCCCTCATCCTGTGCAGGAACGCGGCTGCAAAAGACCAGCAAAGGAGGAAATAAGTTGGTGTCCAACGGGCTAAAGCAGCCGGGCCCTCTGGCAGGGAGCAGCCAGCCTGAAGCGTCGGCGCTGGCGCAGTCCGCTGGCTGCGGTGGCCGTTGCCGCTGTGCTCTGGACAGATGCTCCGCCAGCTCTTCCCGAAACCCATGCTGGCGCATCCCATTTTAGCCCGCTCAGCCCTAGCTTACATGGGTCGTACTGGAGAGCGCCTGCTGCAGTAAGTGGCTCCACTCTCCAGCAGCCTCTTCCAAAAAGTGCAGTCCTGGCAGCAGATGTGCTGCCCGGAGCCTGTGTGCGCCGAGGGCGGCAGGGCCGTGGCTGGCTTTGCATGCAGGAGAACTGGCTGAGGACAGCTCCTCCTCCACCGTATGCCCAGGCATTTTTTTACCTGCGACATACAACTGTACACGTTGTTAGAAACCTGTTGTGAGGTGTACTAAATACACCGCAGGGCGTTTGTGTTTCTTAAATGTATATTGTTAGATATCCCTGGTCGAATACCTTCTCATATATTGGTAATGTACATCCTTGGTAATGTTTGCTCTTCAAAGGTCTATCTATGCACCTGGAAAAACTCATAACGCTGATGTTAAACTACTAGAGGACCTTTAAGAATGGCTGTAATGGAAATCAATGTGATGAGGAGAAGGGACTGTCAGGGGCCCTGTCCACGGCCCAAGTGCAAACGCTCTCCAAGTGCTGTGGGGTTTTCAGCTGGCGTTTGCTGGGCTGCTGGAGGGTGCCTAGTTCGGCTCCTTGCCTTCGTGACTATGGTCCTCTGCTCTTCATCCAGATGCTTCAGTGCCCCTCGGATCGGCTGTGAGGTGGGGGCAGCTCGGCGTCCCTCTGAGTCTCGCCTGGGAGGTCTGCCCTCTGGAGCCCCGGGCTGAGGCTGGGCACGAGACCGAAGCTCGTGGACCTCCCCAAGCCCAGGCTGTCCAAGCCCCGCGAAGTGGCGCCCGGGACCCCGCGGCAGTGCCTGAGGCGAGCTCTGCCCGGGGAAGCCCTCTACGCGCAGCGGCG